AGCAGAAAGCAAAATAACTCAGTTATATATTAGCTCACAGGAGAAATACCTATATTCAGATAGGATTTAATGCTATATTTTCTGTTTTTCTAGAGTCTCAACATGAGAAATTCTGGGGCTTGTTAGATTAAAAAACATTTCTTCACTTTGCAAGTCATGGTGAAGAGCACTATGCAATCTGGTATCTAGTACCCACCCCCCACCCAAGTCGACCGCATAATTCTCTTTAGGGGAGGAATCTGAGAATCTGTATTTATAACAAGAGCCCCCAGTGATTTTATTATCTGACGTGTTTGGAAACTCCAGATTAGACGAGCCCTGAAGTCTTTCCTTCAGAGATTTAACAATCCTGATAAAAAAATTAATTACTAGAAATTGCATTCATACTGCTATACAGAAGAAATTAGTTTCTGCTCCTATATTTATAAAAATACTTAATACACTGAATGGGCCAAACTACTTACTCTTCTATGCCTCCACTAAAGGGTGCTGTCCATCAAGGTAGAAACCATGATTTAGTACTCTCTGCGTCCCCTGAATAACACACGGCCTGGCACAAAATGCTTAATGAGCTTTGAAAGACTATCCCAACTGCAGCAGTTAGCTGCCAATCTTATCCAGACAGTCTTCCCTCCATTCAGGCTCCTTGCCCCAAAGCAACACTCAATGCTCTAACTTAGAACATTACTGAGGCACCGAGATTAAAATAAAAACCAGTGAATTCTATATTCAAAAATCAGCACTTATTGTTTGACTGAATACATGATCAAGACAGTAATATTTAGTACTTGATATCAACTATAATTGAACATGGATGGAGAAGTTTTATGGGGAAAACAAGAATTCACACTATCCCCGAACCAATTTTCAAGACAAACATAAATACTCTGTCCAAAGCACTGACTATTAAAGAATTTCTGGAATAACTGGAGTGAGTCTATTTTTCTGGTGCACAATAACTCCTTAGAGCCCTTTGCAGAACAAAAGCAAAACAAATGGATGGTGATTGCCTCAGGCCAATTTAAGTCTCTTTTTAGATAGCTTTTTTTTTTTTAAAGGAGATGTAAGAAAAACACTTTTTCTAAGTCAAAAGATAAGGTTATTTCTCACCAATAGAACATATATGGTACCATGAAATACAGGCTAATAACAGCAGAAAAATGTTTTCATGTTTATGACCAGAACATTTTATTTTACATATGCAAAGTGCATTTCAGGTCTCTGATCATAGTTTGCATTTTAATAAATAGAAAAGACTCCCACCCACCTGGCCCATTTGCCATGACTTTCCTTAATTCAAATTTCATTCATAAAAACTTCCCAAACAGAATTAAGACCTCTGTATGCTGCTTTCAATAGAGCAGAGCACTTAAAGTAGAGTACACAAGGAAATTTTAATGATTCTAAAGTCAAATGAACTTAACTCAGTAGTTGTCTCATTTATCACCCACTTTTTCCCTTCTCATAACTGAACAAAGATCATGGCTGGCAAGAACTTACTCATAAAAACAGCAGCCTCAAAAGATCTTTTCATTTTATAAAGTCAATATTCTTATGGGGAAAGGTATCCTGACTTCAACTGTCAAATATTACTAGTTGTGAGCCAGTATCAGATATACATGGAATTAATCCAAGTATTTGGTATTATTTTACTTTACGTTTTTTTAGAGTTCAATGTATTTGTTCATCTCATGTATTATAATACATTTACCTATAAATGCTCTGAGTTTTTAAAAAAATGCTACAAGTTGTTAACATCTTGAGTAAAAAAGTTGATACCGGGCAGCCCTGGTGACTTAGAGGTTTAGCGCCGCCTTCAGCCCAGGGCACGATCCTGGAGACCCGGGATCGAATCGCACATCAGGCTCCCTGCATGGAGCCTGCTTCTCCCTCTTCCTGTGTGTCTGCCTGTGTGTGTGTGTGTGTGTGTGTGTGTGTGTGTGTGTGTGTGTGTGTGTTTCTCATAAATAAATAAATAAAATCTTTAAAAAAAAAGTTGATACTATTACCAACAGTATCATACTATTCCCTCCTTCTCTAGATGCACCTGGAAGCAAGGATTTACATCCACTTATTACACAACCAATAATCTATGCTGGGTAGACAATAAAACTTCTATTTAACTTCAGATCCCCTTTAATCACGCCTGTTTCTTCTCCCTCAGTAGGAGTTAGGTACATGCACTGTTTTCCTTCTTTCTTTTACCACACAAAGTTCGGTAAGTGTTCCTTCTGGCCATTACCTCCTTATATATACACATTTCTATACTTTACCAGTATACTGGTATACTTTACCTCTTAAGCAGTTATCTCAACAGCAACAAAAATCTCACTCTGCTCCCCACATAAGATGAGAAAACTAGTAGTGGTATCACCCTTACAGCAACTTTCCAAAAAAATACTACTTTTAAAATGAAATTAGATGTAATATGGAGCTACCTGAGAAATTCTCTAAGGTACCCATAGTTTACATTAAGTATGAAATTTTTCACCTGTTTATCTTCCTGCTATTTGGTACAGTTTTCTTTAAGCACATAACGTTTTTAAATATTTATTACATTGTACTGATTCTCTTCCTTACCTAAGGTTCCTGTATTCATTGTAAGCTAGTTACCTTTAAATAGGCTTTGATGGCCCAAACTGGGAATCCAACCACTTACATATAGTGTCATTAATGGGATTATGTGTTTTTCATTAAAAACAAGTGGGTCCAGGTTTTAGAAAGATGCTAAATAAAAACCACATAAACTCTGAAATTGCTACACTTGCACTACTTAAAAGTGAGTTTCATAAACTGAGTTTAATTATAATTTGGATCCAAATTATTCCTATATAGTTTTATCCTTCATTAGCCATGATGGCAGCTGCATTTTATGTCCATTTCAAATTACATATCCTGGTAAAGTTGCTGTTTCAAATGTTTCATTTGGATACAGCTGTTGTCACTGCCATAAATTCTATTTTCTCATCATTCAACCTGCCCTGTCACTCTTCCGTAAAGTCAGGGTGGGAAGTAAACAAACAATACAAGGAAGAGATGATAGAGATCGGTGGAGAATAGATGGACACGACAATTTTTATTGGTGTAGAGAATTAAAGACAAACCTCTATATGAGTTCTAGACAATGATTTCCAGAAATGGAGGGAGTTATCTGCCACTTTTGTACTCAGCCAATTTATTCCTACTGATATTTTTCTTCTTTGTATGAATTTTTTAAAATTCAATTAGCCAACATATAGTACATTAGTTTCAGATGTAGTATTCACTACTTCACCAGTTGCATAAAACACCCAGTGTTCATCACAACTTGTGCCCTCCTTAATGCCCCTCACTGTTACTCCATCCCCCCACTCGCATCCCCTCCAGCAACACTGTTTGTTTCCTATAGTTACGAGTCTCTCATTTTTCTTAATTCCTATTGATTTTTGTATGATTTTTAATGATACCAGTACATTCCAATTAAAGAAGAAAATGTTTGACTATGATGGTTCTAAATAAAATGCCTTTCTTAAATTACGCAATTCTGAAACATTAAATTCAAAATAAATAAATATATATTTAAAATGCAACATATACAAATATAAAACGCAAACATGATGTCAAATTCATCCTAACAGAAAGGATAATAATAGTATACTATAACTGTGATGAGCAATGTTATTCACACACAGGGCTGTCTGTGGGATGAGATGGGGCAGGGAGGAGCAGGTGAAGGAGCAAATATAGCAGTCTAGACCAGTGGTTCCCAAAGTGTAGTCTCCAGGTAAAAGTAACATCATCTGGGGCAATTTGTAATTCTTGAGCCACAGGCCAGACTTACAGAATCAAAAACTTTGAGGATGTGGTTAATTTTTAACAAGCCCTCCCAGTGATGCTAATGTATGCTAAAGTTTGAGAACCACTGGACTACAGAGACTCAGAGATAAGAAGCCTAGGTAACTAACTCTTCATCTGTTTATTCAGATGACAATGCCCATTATAAATAATGACTGTTAACTAAAACCTCTGAAATATCTTTACTACGTCACTTAGAAGCAACAGTCATAATTCTACCCTACAATGATGTCCAGCTCTACATTCAACATACAAGTTGGCAGGCAGACTATTGAGGAAGTGAGGAAAGGTTGATGAGACAGTGGAATATCTGGGCAGCTGATCTGGGTGTGGCACTCACAGGGTGAAAATCTTGGCAAAAATTTCCTTTTGTAAATCCTGAATATAATATTATACTAGATCCAACCTCAGGAGTTGGATAACTCAAGGATATCAATATGACAAAAGGATTTTTTTAAAGAATGCATAGAAACAAATTATCCTTTAATGATCCATGCAGAAAATTCTTTTAAAATTTGTCCATGATTAACGTGATATCGGACCCTACTCCATCATTCGTAGACTTGAATTATGTTTGTTCCAAAAGTGACACCCTGTTCCTGCAGGAATGGGTGTTGGCTCTGCTGATCACAACACTATGAGCCACATATTACACTAGGCTCAGAGGAAGCAGGTGCTGAGATTATTATTAAATAGGTATATAGGAAACAGAAGTGGCAGCAAAGAAGGCCAGGGAGGAGAAATATCCTTCCTGTGTGTCAAAGAGAGAAGGTGTAAATCCACAAGCTGATTTCCAAACCCCACAGCACAATTTAAGAGCATACAGACACATATTAGGTCAGAAAGACCATGCCTGTGAATTAGATACCTATGTCATATTTAATAAATATTAATAATGTCACAAAATTTAATCCAAATGCTACATTAGCAGCAGAAGGATTAAAGTCTAGTGCTCAGATAAGAATGCAAATGAAATTAGTGCCTGGAAAGCAAATCAGGTTATGTAATAGAAGATTAGTTATAGAATACGAAATTTAAAATTCATTATATCAATCTTTGTCAGACAAAAAAGTCCTTTCATTACTTCAACTGCTTGCTTTCAAGCAACACAAAGCAACATCTTTCATATAAAATCTGCAAATAGTTTAAGAAGGAATCAGACTGACCAGGCTGCACTGGAGAGCTCATCATGGAATCTGGAGAAGGATGAATAGGATGGGATACAAATTCACAACCTTCCTTCAGCTGTCAATGTTGGTCCCGGAGGAGCTGGTAGAGGTGAAACCTAGAATGTTAAAAAAAAAAAAAAGAAGAAGAAGAAAAGGTGTATGATACAGGTTATGTCAAGCCACAGGAAGAGACAGAACTGGCTTTGCATCTGAGCTCAGCCACAGGGGGACTGTGGGCCTCTGCAGCAGTCATATCAACCTCTCTGGTGTCTTAAGTCCTCACCCAAAAAAAAGCAAATTGACCAGTCATGCTTAAAGCACAGAAATATCGTGAACACCAAATAATATGATAGGTGTGGAAGCAATCTGTGAGGACGAAAGCCCTTCACAAAATTATAGTTTCCTGTTTTCTGTTCACTATAATTTGTTTGCTGTTATTATTATAGAAATTAAAAATATTTTTTGGAATTTGGATGTAAGTGTCTCATTATATAGTATGCTCAAATATCACTGTCAAAGTTCTCCTTGTTAGAGACAGGAGTTCTTAGTGAAAAAAAAAAAAATAATGGACTAAAATAAGGAACAAATAGGCCACAAACTATCAGAGTGACAGAAATCCTCTATTATAATTTCCATTTCTTCTTGCAATCTTTTGCAGTCTTGTTCCAGCCAAAAGTGATAACAGCCATAGTCTTTCAAGGAGTGGCACTTACGGGATAGACTTCTTGAAAGGAATTTAAGGGACTTTCTGCTTTTAATTTGAATGTACTCTCACTTCTAGACACTTCAGCAAAGGAAAAGCAAATGGAAGGACATTTTCCTCACAGTTTACTGGAATGTCAAAGTTTAAAAAAAGAAGAGGAAGAAGCTTTTAAAGTTGCACTTAATGAGTTTCTTACTAAAATAGTACATCCCAATTGCACTATTTTTATAGAGAGAATGCTGTAACGCTGAGAATTGTACTTCTCTTTATCTTGAGAATCCAACATATTTATTGGGACTCATTTTCCCATCAGTATCTTGAAAGTGTTATTACTATTTTTGCCCAAATGTATAAAGCAGGATATAAATACATATTTCCTTTGAAGAACTATGTAACATCACCAAGAATACCTAGCATACTTCAGAAGGTCTCTACATAGAAATAGACTACTTCCTAAAACAGTTAAGCAAGAGTCATCAGTTCAGCAGGCTACTTCTCATCTTACCTTTGGTCCTAGAAAAATATTAAAATATAGTAACAATAAAATGTATACTTTTATAAATCTTCAAAAATTATACTGATGTGCTTATTTTATACTTACTTGTACTTAATTATACTGATCAGCATTATTTTAAGAATCTTAATTTCCATGTTGATGAGAAAGCAATGTCTACAAAAAAAGATGAAAAATTAAAAGCAGAAAACTTCTGAATTTCTGTATCAGCAGAGGCATACTGACATTGACTTCTACATGAAAAGGTGTCATTGTCATATTTTAAAGTAATAAAATCATATGCATAATTCTTTGGAGTCCCAGAGTACTTTTAGACATATCACCATATGTAATGCCATTTTCACATCAACCTTGCTAATAGATACTTGTAACTCACACCTCCCTTGTTTTTTTTAAAAGATCTTATTTACTTATTCATTCATAAATAAATATGTCAGGCAGAGACATAGGCAGAGGGAGGAGCAGTCTCTCTGTGGGGAGCCTGATGTGGGACTTGATCCCAGGACCCTGGGATCATGACCTGAGCGAAAGGCAGACTCTCAACCACTGAGTCACTCAGGTGCTCTATCTCCCCTCCCTTTATGAGTGAGAAAAATGAGATATCTATGATCCACTACATAATTAAAAGATAGTAAAACAAAATCAAAACAAATTGAATGAGATTTGAATTTTATATGCTTTAAAATTAATGTGGAGTCTGAGGATTTGGGCATTTTTACTTTTTACATTGCAGTCTGACATATTTCATAAATGCTCTTGATACATTCTTGATTCTCAATGCACAATTTGATTTTAAATTATGAATAACAAAAAGTAAGACACAGGAAATTGTAAGAGTATGTAAGTGAAGTAATACTGAGAGATGTCTTTCATCAGGGGCTGAGTTACTCTGTGTTTAAAAAATTCTTTTTAATCTATAATGTCACTTTGTTCAATTAATACTTGTATATGTACAAATACAACTAAATTTAACCAGTAATCGCCAATGGTTTAATTGTGATAATACTAAAGCCAAAGTTTTATTACTTATCCACAAGTCTAAAATTTAAAAAAAGTCTCTATTTCCACACACCTGCCATTTATTTCCACAAACATACATAACAAATGTCCATGACATGCTGATTCATGGCTAGTTGCACATTGGTGGGTTTTGCCTTCAAAGCTTTAGACCTGACTTGCAAAATGAATCTCAGATGGAAATATGAATTTGGCTACAAAAATACCAGTAAATAACTATTTAAAATGTAAACTAATCTCTCTGCCATTCAGCCTTTTTAATAACTGCCTAATCATGACATATTCTTCTAATATTATGAAAGCCTTGTTATCTGAAAACTGTAAAAAGAAAATTAATATTCATTTATATGTTGATACACTCTAGTTTCTGTTTATTGCATCTCCATTCCCAATGAGCCACATTAAACCAAAATTATGATGACAACTAGAGCTGCATAATTGAACTACGGTCATTTTAAAAATCTCTCCTAAAATGTTTCAGGAGTATTGACCCTCTACTGATACATGCATCACACGTGTGTATATGTGTGTGTACAACACACATGCACATCATCAGCTACATAAATTTCTCTTTTCTCGTGGCCAACAAACAGATTAACAGCCTTGTTCACACATTTTAGGGACAAAACTGATAACAGAATTTTACACAAATTAAGGCAGTTTCTAGCTGCTTGGAAAAGAAAGAGAGGTCAGTAGGGGAACATCTGTCAATGCGAATGGGCTATTTATTCTTAAATCTTCTCCCACTTCTTTATCCAAATGAGCTGCAGAGAAACAGACTATTTTCTTAGAATGGGGGAATTTTCTCTTAGAACATTAGTCATTCTTACAATAACCCTGATGTAAAAATAATAGGAAACTAGCCTTCAAGTGAGCAGATAAATTTAAAAAAGGAAAAAAAAAAAGCAAGTAATGTTGATTGGGGGTACAGATTATCTAAGCAGATATGGAAATATATTTGCCTTCAATTAATAGTTTCAATTAATTTGCACATTGATTTGTCCATGCTGTAAAGATATATACATGAACATTTAAGGAGATAAACACAGGCACAGCAAGAGCAAAATTGCTGCTATGAATCTTTTACCTATTGAGATCCAAGAATGGCTACTTTGGTTCCTAAATATATTCCTTGAGCTACACAAATCCACAATAAGGGACTAGAAGTCTTGCTTGAAAAAGATCAGTTCTGGGAATCTCTGGGTGGCTCAGCAGTTTAGCACCTGCCTTCAGCCCAGGGCATGATCCTGGAAACCCGGGGTCAAGTCCCACATCAGGCTCCCTGACAGAGCCTGCTTCTCCCTCTGCCTGTGTCTCTGCCCCGCCCCCCACTCTCTCTTTCTCTGTGTGTGTGTGTGTGTGTCTTTCATGAATAAATAAATCAACTCTTTAAAAAAAAGAAAAAGATCAGTTCTGACTACAAGTTGGTCAACTGCCTACACATAAGTTACTGCACTGCCATAATATACTGGGATACAGAACAGTTCAACAGTCCAAGGGGGTGACACCTTGCAATGTCTTAGCTTGCCCATGCTGCCAGGGTAAGAAAGAACACTAAGACATTATATTGCCCAAACCCACAATGCTCCCATTAACATCATTGTGGGGTTGTTGCCATAGGTCCTTTAGCCATTCCATCTCCATGGCCTATTCCATAGCAATCACATGGCAAATCAGCAGAAGGTTGTAAAACATAGAAAATTTGCACAAGGATTTCCTCCTCTGATCTTCACAACAGCCCTTTGACATATACTGATAAGCCATTTTTTAAAATATTTCAGTTATTTATTCATGAGAGAAATAGAGGCAGAGACATAGGCAGAGACACAGGCAGAGGGAGAAGCAGGCTCCCTGTGGGGAACCCCATGCAGGACTTGATCCCAAGATCCTGGGATCATGACCCAAGCCAAAGGCAGACACTCAGTGCCGAGCCATCCAGGTGCCCCTGATAAGCCATTATCATTCCTACTTTATAGATGAGGAATTTGAAGCTTGAGAGTTTCAGGGATTTGTTCACAGCCATGCAGGTGGTAAAACGGAAGGGGGCTGGTCTTTTGACTTTTAGCCTACTGTACTCTGTAGCATCACTATGAATTACACACCACTTTAGCAGAGCTGCTTAAATATCAAGACTGTGTCTACCTAGTCATCACAATTTCAATAATGACTCATTAAGTAACAAGTCTCCTTTACTAAGGAACCTATCTAGACATTGAATAGACTGAACCCAGTCAAACAAAAACAACAAAACAGAAAATTTTGAATGAATGTCTACATGAATTCTCACAGTATAAGCTTTCATTTCCTTAGATTTGGACTTCATAGTCCTACCACAATCTTTTCTTGTTTTTTTTTTTTGTTGTTGTTGTTTTTTTTTAACTATGGTCTGAGCTTCTTACTACAGTTTCTTTTTCCCTTGTGGACAATTGGTATTATTTTGGACAATGTATCACTAAGAAAACAATGCTTTTGTAATTACGTAGCTAACAAAAACCATGCGTCTCTAAAATATCTTTCCCAGACATAGAGCAAGTTGTAATGCACAGCTCAGTCTACAAAGCCATTCACATTCATCCACAGGCCTTTTCTTCTTAGATGGAACCATTACCCCCAATTCCTCTAAAGAGTAAGCTCCATGGGCTGACTCAATTTGTAAATCTACTGTAAGAGATTTTATTGGTCAGATAAGCCTACTGTGCCAGAGCACTGAGTATCATTCGACCTCTCTCTCTTGCCTCAGAATGCAAAATTCTGCCAAAATTTTGTCTTTTAAGGAAAACACAGGAAAATTACTCTTAACATTCTACTCAATTCAACAAACTCTTATTGAGTGCATACAAGACATTCCATTATCCATTTTGGAAACCTTAGATTATATTTCA